TGAATTATTAATAAAGAATGAAAAAGGGCTTAGCGAGGGTGATTGACATGATGCCATGATCTTTTGATCTAATTTTTGTGTTTATGGGGTTTGGTCTCTTGAACATTATGAGTTTTTAGGTATGATACTGGTGTTGTGTACTAATTAAAATTAGGTGTGTTTTTATTTTAGCAAAGTGAAGATAAGGAAGAAGAGAATTAAAAGGTCAAAGGGAAGAGCAAAGGAATCTACAAGTGTAGTAGAGTAGTAGCATCATAGCATTAAAGATGGAACACCATAATGCTGGAATAGCCTAAACAATAGAGCTTTTAGTGATGGTAGCTGCACCGTCAGAAAAATACATTCTGCCTACCTAGTGATGGTAGTGTCATGCCATTGGAAAGTTGGTGCTATTATAGCACTAGCTTTTGAGAAGATAGGATACTAAATGGAAGTAAAAAGAGGGTTAAAAACATCATTCTCATTGGCCCATCTGGCCACTTTTTTTACCAGAGTATAGAGCTTTTGCAGTTTGTTTGTTTTGATATTGAAAAAATTTGAGAAAAAAATAAGTGTTATAAAAAGAAATAGAGTAAAAGAGAAATTTAGTATTACAATTGTGATTTTTGAACCCTTTTTTTCTTTCTTTCTTTATTTTTTTTTTACATCTGACTGATATGTATTAATTATTTTCTATCATATCATATATTTTTAGTATTTTGTCTTTTTCTTTTATTTATTTTTCACTAGGTGTTAAATAACATTTTGGACAACGTCCACATTATAGACTTTTTAAGGAGGCTTACAGTTTTTGATCATGGACTCCACTATTTTGTCATCTCTTCTCTTCCCTTTCAACAAGTGACAAACTTTACTTTCTCTCACATTTCTTTCTATTCACAAAATCGTTTGAAATAAATATTGCATTAGAGAATTTAAGTAAATTATGATGTTATTAATATATACTTTATATTGACATAAATAGTTCATCCTATTAAGTTTTAAAGTTTTTTTTAAATAACTAAATTATTTTTTTATTAAATTAAATATACTTTAATAAAAGTTATTAACTTAATTTATTTTATAAAATAGTTAGACCTGATTTAGACCTAATATGCACTAGATCACTTGTCCTTGTCAACTATTTTCAACATAATTGAGACAAAATATTTCTGATGCTACTTTTTCATTTTTCTATGTTGTGAATTTATGGTACTTTATTGTAGTATTCTTTTGTCCTTTTAGGTTTTATCCTACTAACTCTAGTTTTATGTTAATTGGTATTGTACTTTTATAGGTTGGAAATTATAATAGAATAAAATTTTATACTTAGTTATAAGTAACCAACTCAAAATTAATTTAGATAATAAATTTTTAAATAATATTGTGTATAAATTAATTTTCAATTTTTTTTTACAAAACAAAAAATGACATTTAGTCACATTATTTTAAATTAAATTTACTCATAATTGATTATACAAAATTATTATGATCTAAAATCAATTATATAAAAAACATATCCAAAGGCACTTTGTATAGGAGATAATGATATTTAACTAGATTCTTGTAAGAGCGTGTTTGAAAATTTATTTTTTTAATGAATATGTAAAATATGCTTTTTAAAGCACCAAAATATAAAGTAACTTTTTCTATCTTTTCCGTTAAACAAAAGTTTACAAAATTTTAATAATAAAAAAAACACACACTGAGTAGGGTAATTTGGTCGAAGTAAATAAATAATTTTTAGTGAGTTTATTTGTGTTGTTTTGAGAGATAAGTATAATATATTTGTTTCTATATAACATCTAGTTATCTCATTTGTCAAGATTAAAAAAAATTAATCTAATTGATAACAAACATTTATCTTATTTTATATTTTTTCAAAATCATTCTTATATTATTTATCTTTATGAATTATTATAACCTTTCATTGATTTTTTAATTTAAAAATAATTAATATACAAAATAATATAGATTAAATATTATACAAATGAACAAATAATTATTAGTTGATGGATTTTATAAATGGGAAGAAAGGTAGTATAAAAGATATCAGGATAATTGGATTTTATTTTTAAATTTATATAAAAGTATTTTATATCAAATTGGAAAAAAAAAGGTGTGATAAAAGTATTTTGCTAAAAGAAGTCCAAATTCATTGTTTTACTCCAATGAAGAGGCCCACCCAATAAGACATGAGAGAGATGAAATTGGACTCACATCTGTCATAAGCTCAGACCCATAGTCCAGTAACCAGCCTATCTCTTTTGTGGGCCATACGCAAAATAACTATTGTAGCACTGTTATTAGCCACGCTTCATTTGATTAGACCCTTATTCCAAAAATAAAGTTGTGTGTTTGATTTAATGGTTGTATTGTCAAAAAGAAAGATAAAAAGTTCCAGTGGTTGGTGAAAAAATTGTTTTCACCTCAACTTTTCTTGTACAATTTTTTCCATCACATTTTTTCTCTCTTTTATTTGATGTCAATCAAACGAATTTTTTAACATCATTTTCCTATTCCTTGTAAAGGTTGATCTTTCGACATTGGAAGGGTAATTTTATTCTATTTTTAATAAAAAATAATATTTTAATATGTGTAATACATAAATTAAATAATGATTTCATATTACTAAAATTTATAGTGAATTATATATATATATATATATATATATATATATATTATAGGACTAAAATTTATAATAAATTATATATACATATAAATATTATGTTTGAGTATATGAATTATAATTAAAATTTATAAATTAATAGATATTTTTAAACATATAAATTATATTTTAAATTTATAATAAATAATTTATATTGTAATACAATATTATTTTATTCATTAATAATTTTATTTTAAAAGTATTAAAATTTAATTTATAAATAATTATTACAAATAAAAATTTAACCAAATAAGAAGTTAATTTTTTTATAAAAAAAAATACTTTTGTCAAATAAATATTTTTAAAAACACTCTTACATATAATAATCGTTCTTAGTTAATATATAATGGTCAATAGTAAAATATAATTAAAAAAGTTAGATACTACAATGGACTAATCCTAGTAAACATTTTCTTTTTGACCGAAGTGTTGGTACCGCCGTAAACACGAAGGTAGAAACATTTTTTAAGAATGATAAAATATTATTTTAATTAAAATCGTGTTTGTGATTTAAATTTTTTTTATATATATTTTTTGCTGGAAAATGGTGACTAATTAATTTTTTTTGTATTTATTACCTTAATTTCTTTTTATTAGATTTACCTTAATTCCTTTTTATTATATTGATCGTGGTTATTTCGAAGTCGAAATAAATTACATAACATTTATTGACTTAAAATTTGAAATCTTGAATGTAATTACGACTTTAATGTAAAAAATTTTAAATAAAAAATAATCTTTCGGCAGGTAGATCTTTTATACACCCCAATCATATAATTGAAACAATACATTAAATTGAAACACATTTAACTGTTAAATTCATGAATTTTGTACAAACAATACACATGTAGTGATCTTATAATTGTCTTATAGAGAGAGGTATACAACTAGAGAATTATAGAAATATTTATAATATATAGTAATAATTGCTTATTATGAAAAACATTTACAAATTCAAACTCCAAAATTATCTTAGCTGAAACACAAATTGCTGGATGTGATGAGTATTAAATAGGCAAGAGTGTAGCTAGGTTTGTTTGGGTTGGTTCGAGTTTGACTCCGAACAAAAGAAAACTCAACAAATTCAATGATCAAGTTATAAGATTCATTAATTGAGTTATTTGATTCAGGTTCATTGAGTTTATGCAAAACAATGCATATCATATTATGAAAATCAACGATCTTAATATACGCTATAATTTGTAAAATACTTATATTATTAATATTTTTTAATTAAATTTTAAAAATGTTTGTTGATAGTTCGATATTTTGTCTCTCATCAAATCAATATTAATTAAATTACAAATTTTAATACTATACTATGTATTTAGTAATAAAATAAGTTGGATAAAACTATAAAATAAACGAATTTTATGATAAAAATAATACTAATTATAGTACAAATCATAAATAAATATATTAATGAAAAAAATGAATTTTTTTTAGACTTTTAATTTGAAAAGTAATAGAACGAAGAATTTGCATTGATACAAGTAAAGACTAAAGTAAAGAATGATGGTACATAATAGTGGTAAAAAAACAATAATGATAAAATGTATTATTTAATATTGTTACACCATGCTTTATAATATATAACTTACAGCCTTGTGGTTGAATCATGAGAATAGAACTCGAATAAATTATTTTTTTTGTGAGAAATAACAAAAACTTGATCCAGCCAGCCACTGATTCATCGATTAAACCTCTGTTGTTGTCTTTTTCACAAATAATAAGTATTGATTCAGTGTTGGATCTTCAGATTGATGCGTTCATCATAGAAGACCAATTTTTGCACATATTTTATTTTCTACGTTCCCTGATCTGTCTGTGTTAGCAGGATTGGAGGGAAACTTCTGAGCTACAACTGTATCCTATCCATGATTTCATATTTCATTCCATTGAATTATTTTTTGACTTGTGCAAGACAAAAGGCCACCACGCAGAGACAAGATTTGAGGTTGTGCGTCTGGAGAGGACACGTAACGCAATCCTCGCATGATGTGATGGGTTGCATGTCCAATGCTCATTTTCCACGTAACCACCTTAAATGCTATGGGCATGGTGCCATCTAACATGTTAATGAACCCTATAACGTTTTCTTCATAAACAATAAAAACCCAACACGCTTCCTTCATTAAAACTTTATTTAATAATAATGTAATTCTCACACTACCAACTCCACAAAACATGGCATTAATTTTTTTTAATTAAAATTAAAAAGTACTAACACATGCTTTACGCATGAAGACATTTATTTTAGAGAGAAATAATAATAAAAAGAATAATTTATTTTCCTTTTAAAATAAAACGTAGGAGGGGGAAGTAAGGGACGTTGACCCATATTCCGAAACGAAACAAAGGATCGAAAGTGTGGTTGTAAACGGAAAGTGTGGCTAAACCTTAACAACCAACCTCATGAAACAATGGACGCTGTGTGTGTTTCATTTCACCTTTCAAATATTGTGTTGTATTCTAAACTAAAAAGGCACAAGCCAGAATCCCCGTGAGCAGTGACACACCACAGTGAAACGCATACTAAAACGTACTAGGTAGCAGCGTTTTACGTAGTACACATCCGCACACATATAAAACCGTGTCGTGTCGGGTATTACTTACGCATTCGGATTTGGGGGGGAAAACACAATAGAGTAATGGTTTGCGAGGAATCGTCATCGCAAACAGCTCCATCCTCGGAGCTCTTCAAAATCGCTTCGTCTTCCTCTTCCGCCGAATCCAACTTTCGTGAACTCGATGATGCATTCCTCCAGGTTTATCATTCATCACTCACTCTTTCACTCTTTTGCCGGATGCTTCTTATTGCGATTCTTTTATTCTATTGTTTCCGGTTTTAGAATCGGATTGTGTTGATTGATTGAGCGTTTTGCTTTGTGACGTTTTCTTTTAGTTGAAGGTTTTGGAGTCCATGGATATGCGTAATTGCGTATCTATTTTCGTTGTGCATATTGATTTTGTTGGCTCTACGATGTTTAGGTTGCTATTGTGTCCAAGGAGATGTTGTTTTGTGTTCTCATAAATTTTGTCGACATTGAATGGAATTCGTTTTGAACTGGTTGGTTAGGTAGGTTTATAAAAATAGGTGGATAGAATTTGGCTCGTGAGAGAATGTGCATAAATAGCTTCTATGGTTGATAATGCTTGAGAAATATCCGTAGTTATAGCCACTTGATACTGGTATAGAATTTGAGGGAAAAGATAACCCTTTATTTCTGAAATTATTTGTATGAAATTTATTATGACTACTTTAAAGAATCAAACTTACGATAATTTATCATTGTTTGTAGTGTGAAAATATTTATAGTATCAAAATTAAAGTCGAGAAACATCTCTTGCTTATTTATGGAGGAGCTTTCTATTCTTCAATGTGGAATTTGGGATGGTAAATGGTAGCGGGTTCTGTTGGCAACTGGCGCCAGACTGCAAACTTCAGCTTTTAAACAATGTAAAGTTAAAGGTTGAATGAATGAACTTCTTCATTATACGTCCAACGAATAAATTCACGAAGTTATAGAAGTTAAGTTACCAGAGAAACACATCATCAAATATTAATTAATCACTAGATAATTGAAACTGCTTTTCATCCTCCGGCTGTGAGACATGTTCAATGGTTCTCTAGTTCATTGTCTGTCTTGTACGAACATGGTATCCTTACACCTTTTATTATTGTAGATTTTTCCACCCTTTTCCTTATCACTAATCTTTAAATGATATGGTCTGTTCGTTATAGCTTAGACTAATTTGTTTTCCAATTTACAGAACCAAACGAGAATTTGGCTAGGAGAAGTATTGCAGATAAGACTAGATGAGCAACTCATTATATCAGAACTACTTGCGGATGGAGAATTGCTGTACGTATATTGATAATATGTTTGATGGACAATATTGTTTTAAATTTATAATATTTTTCAATAAAAAATAATAACCAATGTCCTAAGTACCGGTTAAGAAATCACAAATATTTTTTATTATTGAAAAATAGTATAACAACACATTCTTGTGTAACTTTTTACATTCTTTAACCAATGGATTACTAGTTAACAAGACCCTTTTATAATTATTATTGTTGTTAACAATTTTTTAAATGTAAATCATACTTGAGATAATTTAGTTTCTTTTTTTTGACACCTCTTGAGATAATTTAGTTAGCAAAACACTCTTGTGTAACATTTTTAATCATACTCTATTAAAAATTAAAAGCTACACTAATCATACTAATAATCTTAATCTTAATAAAAGGCAGATTAGGTGTTCTTTTCGTTATGTTAATTTTGGAAGTACATAACCAAAACTACAAATAATTTAAATAATTAATTTAAAAATTGAGGACAAAATTTAAGAGAGAAAAACAAAACATTAATGAACGACAACACATGTGATCACCTGGAAAGAAAAGTAGTTGGAATTGGAGAATTGTTTTTGTGGATCTATATGTTTTTATTTTTTTAAGGTTTTTTTTTTTAAAAAATAAAGTTAGTGTTTGAAAAATTATAATAATTATGTATTTAAAAAAAAATAACTTGAAAAATTATTTAAATACTTGGTCGATAAATTGAAAATGATAGTTTCTTGAAAAAAAAAAAACTAATAAGAATTTACGCAACAAAATTATTTTTTTCAAATATAAACGAATCAGGCTTTATCAACTACTAACATTCATTTGTGAGTAAAAATCTTTGTGCTAAAATTCTATTATTCTATGTAGAATTTCTAAAGATATTGGTAAATCCTAAATGTTCTTATGTTGTGTTCCGGGCAAATCTACTTCTACGTTCAAATCAACTCCTTATAAAAGAATTTTATTTCACCAGAATATAAATTGAAGAGCGAAATTTACTGTCTCTTTTATATGAAATTAAATGGTAGGACATTCCTGAGAAGAATTGAACTCTAAGAGGCATCACACAAGAAGCTCTTGTATTGTGCACTTTACATTGCTCCGTATCTGAAAACAGTTTAATTGTTTTTCAGGTTTCAAGTGTCAAAAGTGGTGTGGAAATTGCTGTTGTCAAAGCATATGGAGCTAAGGCATACGAAAGCATACAAAATCCAGCCATTTGCTTCTAAGAACATTGCGAGATATAGGCCTTATTCTAATGTTGATTCATTTCTGAAGGTAAATCGTTTGATTATCATTTATCACATCTTTTCCTCTTGACAAACTAAGGGAACAATTGTTCTATTTTCTTTACTTTTATAAGAATATAGTTGGAATACTTTTTGAGGCGATCGCACAAATTCAGTGACACACCGATACCTATCACCAGAAAACTGATAATACTGACAAACCAACAGTGGAATAAAAATTACATTTTCATTGTTGTTCTGAAACCAGCAATTTTCCTTGATATTTCATTTGAATTTAGAGGCATGTAGCGGTTGTGAGGAGAATGGTACTGGCTTTTGTACTCTGAACCCGAATTGAAGTGCTGTTCCATAGATGTTTATACTTTTGAAGTTCTGCTCAACCACTCTTTAGTTCTTCCTTCCCCTTTCTAATGTGTTTGGAGTATCTGAATTATGTAATGACTTGTGACCTTCTCTGTATTGTTGTAGTGTTCTTTATTAGCGTGTAATTGAATTGCACCACCTTGATGATTTTTAATAATATTCATGACATGAAGATGCAAATTCACTGTTACATCAAAACAATTTCTGTTTGAAATTTCTCACTGTATGTTAGCTGATATTGACTTGTTTGAAATAGTAGGAATATCTCTTGATATAAGCATAGGAATACAAGAAAGACAAACTCTATAACCTCATTTTATTTATATTTCCAACTTTTGAATGATGTAAACAGATAAAAATAACTAGATATCTATAAGCAATCTCAGCATCTTTTAATTTGCAGATTTGCAAAATTTTGGGATTGACTGGGGTTGATCTCTTCTCTCCATCAGATGTAGTTGAGAGAAGAAATACTCGAAAAGTTTGTATGTGTATACGCTCATTCTCCAAAAAATCAAGATCTATGAATATAAATGTAAGAAAGTCTCATAATATTCCTCACAATCTTAATTTGCTTTCCCTTGCATTTTATTCTCTAAATAATTGTTTTTGCTATGTAAAAACATGGTGTCAGGTTCCAGATTTTGACATTGTGACACGTATGGTAGCCATGCCCAAGGATTTGGTTGGATGTAGGCGTAGAAGCATAGAGCTATCTCATAGCATCCTAGCTGATTCCTCTTGTAGCTATTACTTACAAAAACTTGCAAGAAGAAAATCTAGACAGGTTTGTCCCTGAATTTACTAATCAATTAAAACAAAACATTAAATTGCAAGTCAAGGAGCCTGTGACTCAATTGTCACCAGCCTAATTCTTATAAGATTTGGGTGGTGATAATAATGTCTGAGGTTAAATTCCGCATCAATGTATTCTCTTGTATACAATTGTTTTCCCATCCAATTTAGCGAAAAAATTGCCAGTGTATGCATTTATGTGCTTCTACTAAATCATTTTGCTACTTGTATCTCTAAAGCATGATGCTTCTGTAGGGTTATTCCATCATAGGTTCCACCGGAGACAACGAGACACATTCTGGCCAATCTGTGGACCCAGAAAACAAACATTTAGTATTTCAATATGATGACTTACATACTGATGACTTGTATGATTATACATCAGAGAGAAACTACATAGCATCTCCAATGGTTGAACACGTTTATATGCCTGAAGATTTAGATCAATTGAACATTCAAAACCAAGAAAATTTTAATGATGACTTTGAATTGTTATGTTCAATGGAATCATTGGAATATCCTTGCTCTGAGGATATAGAGCATGCTTGTGAGCTGACTTTGCCATCATCCCCCCAAGGGGATTTACATACTGACCTTATTGATATGACATCTCATTTAGATACTAAAACGGAACAAGTCCAAGAAAGTAGAAGTATTATGGACTTTGATTACTTTGAGCATGTGTCGATAAGCAGCAACTCCTCTGTCATTGTGACTCCTAATAATGTCAGAAAAACAGGTAAAAGGGATGCTAGCTCACTTATGAAAGATAGAGAGGACCATGATCTGTTTCATGATGAAAATGTTTCGCCAACTGTATATCTAAGTGCTAGTTCTCATGGTTCAAATCCAACCCCACAAAGTGCTGAAAATGGTAGATGTTTTGAAATCGGTGACGATAAGGAAGTTCTGCTAGTAGCTTGCATGAACTGTTATTCGAGGGAAGCGATGAACTTGGGAGATCAAGTTGATGCAGAGAACAATTTTAAGAATAACGATTCTTTTAAAGTGCATAAGGACAAGAATGATCAATGGGACAAGATAAAAGAAGAACATGAATCTCAAGGCACGGTGAAATGCAGAGAAATGCCATATCAAATCATTTCTAGTGCAGGATATTCTTATTCTGTAATAAAAATTGAGGAAACCGAGCCTTCATTGTATTCTCCTGATTGTTACTTCTGCAATACTAATTCTTCTGATAAAGTTGTTCCTCATAGCAATGCCACTAGCTCAATTTTACTGAAAAAGTTTCTAGCATATGAAGAGAGAGAGTCTCAAGTTGATTTGAAGTGCTTGGATAATGCTGGTTGCAACCAATCTGAGGAGTCACTGTCCTGTCAGTCTTATTATTTGCCTGAGTCTTGTAAATGGGATCAGAAAGGAAAATGTGCTGCAACATCATATAAAGATATCAAAAGTTCATGTTTTTTGGAGGATGTCTCACATGTGGAAATTACACCTTGTATACAAAAAGCTTCTGAAGTCTTGTCCACTGATGGTAAAGAGCTAAACATCGATTCTCTGGCTCTGGCCTCAAATGCTCTAGCTGCAGATGACTGTGAAAAATGTTCCACTCTTGGTGAAGATTCTAATGATTTCTGCAAAGGTGACACAACTCAAGACATTGGACAGCGAGGTCAGAGAGTACTAGATATCATAACCAATGATGTTGTCATCCCTGCTAACTGTGATCATCAAGCATTTCAATATGAAAAGGATCCTGTTTACCATTCAGAACATACTCGTGAGGTGCATAATAAAGTAAGTTGCTTTGTGACTATTGTCTTTGACCCTTTTTCAGCCATGCTTGTGTTAATCATTTCCGTTTCTAAATCAAGTCTGCCTTGCAATTGTGTTATATAGGAAGAAATAAAACAAGAAGATGAGCACGTGCACTTAGAAAATTTAGTTGGAACAGAAGAGGGAGGTATACAAATAATACCAAAAGCAAAACCTCAAAAGAAGCTACTGCTAAAATCAGTCTTGGGTGGTGCAGCTGCTGTTGGTTTGTTGTTTATGATTTTGCACTTAAGGTTTGTGTTTGACACATTTTTGAAGGCTGTCGGTTTTTTCTGCTTCTGTTAGTCCATTGATTTATTTGACTTTTTGATCTTTTTGGTTGATAGGAGGAATGGCGAGGAAAAAGCTGCACAACCAAGTATAGCATCTAGTGATAAAGGCAAAGAGAAGATTCAGAAAAAATCTACTCAGAAAGTAAAAAGAAGTACAACAAAAGGAGTTTATCCAGCTGAAAGGATCAATTTAAAGTGATTAGGATTTGGGTCTCTTATGTTCAAACAATGATAATGGTTGAGAAAAGGTATTAGTTTCAACCTTTGAACCTCGCTGGTTACGGTTCTCCTTTTCACATTGCAGTTAGCTGAAGTATATACAAATTGAAAAAAAAATATACAGATATGCTCTGTTTCCTACCACCATAAAATGGAAGAGAAAAATTGGGTAAAAAGAAAATAAGAGAACCGTGCTAGTTTTTCTCCATTGCAAGGGAGTGACACACTCCCGTTAAGTTTGATGAAATCCTCGAAGGTTGTTTCCTAGTCAAGAGGTTGAAAGACAGTTATATTCCTCTAGCGGTGAATCTCCTGATCAGTTTATATTCAACAATATAGTCACATTCACTTATCAATAAAGAACCCGACTCGAGAAGGTAGTTCTAGACATGTATACATGGTTATTAATATATTTTTCAAACGATATAAAACAACTTTTTTAAACAATATATTATTAAAGATATAAATAAAAATAGACAAATAATACTACATCGAAAATTTAAAATAACACTTGTTTTAATATATTTTTTTATATAACACTTGTTATGAGACGAATCTGAGTAAAATAAAACAAATAATCTAGATCATTAGTTAAGATAACTTTTTGAAAATAATTATAATTAATGTTAACATGAACATTTATACTTGATAATAATTAATTATAAAAATCGTGGCAGGTAACATTAGTTAATCGACTAAGACGACTAATAAACAAACATTTGTAAATTTCATTTAATTTAATAAAAATCTTGTATATTGAATTTCATTGAGATTTGAATATTTTATTGAAATATAAATAAGGTCTTATATTGTTAAAATAAGAAAATAAATAATAATTTATAAGACACACATATTTTATTAGTTATAGACTTTTTTGATGATGATCAAAAATAAAATTATGAGATTTATGTCCTTTATTTGACGGAGGAATTGTTGAGATACAAACAATATTTCACATTCTTAAAATAAGATGATAAATAATAACTTATAAAATACTCACATATTTTTTTATTAAATAAGAGTTTATAATAAAGTATTCACATATTTTATTAGTTATAAGTATTAGATGCCGAATAAAAATAAAATTATGAAAGTTTCTATCTAATGAGAATAATATTTTAATAAATAGAAACAAATATATTCCTTTTAAACAAATACAACATCCAATATCCCTAACATATTTAAATATTTAATTTGTTTGAAAATTAATGTTTGCTTGTGCTAAAATAAAAACATGTTGGATATTTAATGAAAAAAGAAATTTTCGTTGCATAGTGCCCAAATCTTGAGTTCGTATTTGAAGAGATATGAGTGTTTGTGTTTTTTTATTTTTTATTTTTAAGGAAAAAAGTTATAAAGACGCTAAAAAAAATTCAAACCTAAAAACCTTGTTAATTTTTCACCATCCTATAAGAACACGTGAAATATGAAAAGAACTTTTAATCCTAACTGTTCATGTATTGTTGCATAATTTAAATTTACTTTTGTCTTTAAAAATGCAAAATTGATACCAACTATCAAATTTTTATACTTAGACCACTTAACATCTTTTTCTAGAAAGACTAGAATACAAAAATTACACCATATTTTAAAATTTTAATATTTTCTTTTTGATCGTGCATATAAAAATTCACATAAATTACATATTGTCTTGTAATTGACATTACTCATATTTTAAATAATATATTATCCCTCAACATAAAAATAATGGGATGAAAAAATAATTAGATTTTTATTTGCATGGGTTGTGTCCCGAGCAAGGCTTTCTGTTGAGCATGGCAAAACATATCTCCTTGTTAAGTATTCACTATTTTGCTGTGTTATACAAAGTGAAACTGAAGCTTCGTAGAATTGGGAGAAATCAAAGGTGAATTTTTAGTCATGCTCACCAAAACCCGCTAACAATGCATGCAGTGTGAGCATCTTTGACTTCAAAGAAAGGTGGAGTGATCATTAAAAAAGCACTTCTATGAAGCTTCAGTTTCACTTTGAGTAACAAAGGACAATAGTGAATACTTAACAAGGAGATATATTTTGCCATGCTCTACAGAAAGCCTTGCCCCGGACACAACCCAATATCCAGGACTATCTTCTGGTCCTCTGATCATTTCCGTTGTGTCAACAAACCTTTGTAGCTTAGGTGTGTGCACTGGCGCAGGAAGTGCAGCAGAATATGTGTTGGAACCAATGGTCTTATCACCTGGCTTTGGATGACCCCTTTGTCCCTCTTTCGAAATAAATGCTAAAATGCCCCAAGACTTCATGCTGAACTGCCCAAGACTGGAGGATTGATCCCACTCAGGCTCCTTCTGCAGAGTGGCACCAATGACTTGGGAGAAACGCAGCCTTAAAAGGAGACACTTCTTTTCAACTTGCAACTGAGCTCCTGTCACAATGGAAACACTATCATCCGACTCAACAGGAGCAGTACAGACGTATGAAAAGGAGTTCCATTTCACTTTCTTATGCAAGTTGCAGCTGTATGAGTCACAAGACAAGTAAGCATTTGCGTTGTCAGAAAGTGGTAAGGACTTGGGTAGAGAAGCCAGATGCTGCAGGTGAATGGCCAACCGGTTGCTTCTTCTCCCTTCCAATTGTAATCTTAGCCCAACCACTGGTCTGTTACCTACATCTACCTGCCATAAAGGTATAAGGAACCAAGATTATGAAGTTCATTATTTTATAATGCTTAGAAGCTGCACTTCTGCTATGTTACCAGGTTACTAGTATGTTATTACTTCTACTATGAGTTTGTTTGAATACAGAGTTGGAAGAAAATAAAGAGTTTTTTCCAATAGAAAAACTCTCAAAAACTCTTTTAAATTTGTATCCAAGCAGACTCTATATCAATATGGATGTAAAATGCAGAGTTGGTGTTACTACCATCAGGGCCATATACCCTATTAGCAACAGAAGGTCACAACATTGATAACTAAATCATGAATCATGATATTTAACATTAACTCTATCGGAGTGATGGGAAAGCAACAGACTACATGATGCATATTCTACAAGAATGTAGAGAAACTACTCATGCCTTCTTTATGTTTATAAATTATAACTAAAGAAAAAAGGAGAGCAAGGTGCATCACTTTACCATCTTTTACCAGTTTTTCTGCTCACAGTTTATTAGAGAGACTGGAAACATGGGAAACTTCAACTCATAAAATGCACATTAAAAGTGCAAGATGGAAAACTTACTGGAATTGTATTTATGTAAAGCTTTGGACCCAAGATACTGAATCGTAGCCAGGTGTTCACTTGATGCTTCCAACGAGAACCAAGACGTACCTCACTAAGTACAGGTGCCCATTGTCTTGGTAGCTGAAATTCGCAAAACTGATGAAGGTCTTCAATTGGGGGTTTGTCTGTTTCATCAGTCACAGTTTACATGCAGGCTCAGCTAATTCAGTTTCAGAGAGATATTATTATATACTTATGAGAGTTTATCCATTCTAACCCTTTTAACAAGTTTACGAAAGAAAGACGAGTAAACATTGAATTTGATCCTTGGAAAATGGTAGAGGTGATTGATAGGTCCTGAAAGATTTTTGTGACATTTGAATTTATAAATTTTAACTTTGTTATGCAAGTTAATTATTCCATTATACTCAGATACTAACTCTGTTAGTTTCTTGAACGGTCAATAGTTAAGGGCCAAGTTGACATTTATTCCTCTCCCAAATCACCTAATATAGACCATAATGCAAGGTTATAGTATTTTTCGATCAGCAACGGACACTTTGTCATGTTTAAATATTCTAATCATGGGTGCTCTAGTTAAAATGGAAGGTTATTATTGGGTTTTATAGAGTTTTCTGTAGTTAGATTTTTCTGTCTCAGTCATCCTTAATTTTTTCATCTATTTTGACTATAGCTTTAGGATTGTAAATCCTAAATTATTGAATTTGGGGTTAGCAAAATGAATAGTTATGAAAGATCTCAAGCAAAGATGCATCAATTGAGTATGGGTGTTTCAGCTATGTTTAATGAATCACAAACTCCTTTAGTAGAAGTGTGGAAGAGCTTAGTGGTAATGAACCTTTATGTTACTGTGAAAACAAGGTTCAATGTTACTGATACATGCTAACTGGGAGAGAGAATACATGACAATTGAGTGTTGACTGATCATGAGACTAATAGAATTAGTGATTGAGTATAATAGAGGGTTGTTGCATAACAAAATTAAAATTTAGAAACTTAGATATCACAAAAAATCTTTGAGGACCTATTGGCCACCTCTACCATCTTTCTGGGACCAAATTGGATGTTTATTCAAAGAAAAACACAATTTACTAATTTCTGCCATTGTGCTAGACAAAACAAAGGAAAGTGGTCAATTGAGTTCCCAGAAGTTAGGAACTGTATAGTTTGAGGAAATGTTTTCTAGAAAATAAAAATAAGGCGACACTCTTCTAATTAAAAATGAAAACAACAAATGAAAAACATTTTCATAGAGTAAACAAGTCCTTAGACATTTTAGTCTGTGGATAAAACAATTTCATGATATAATGATAATTTTCTGAAATTTAGGTGGAATCTAAAGGGCAAATGTTTCTGTGAAATATTTGTGCAACAAAACATGTCAGATAATGACTTACAACGGAGATAGAGATTTATGGCATGGCTCACAAATCCACTTCCGCGGATACTTCTCAAAAGGGATGTCAATGGGAGAAGGAACAATGCTATTACGTCAGGTTCCGAGTCAATAGTAGCCAACCATTCTCTATAATACATATTTTGACTGCTTCCACCCCTCCTACTATGTATCAGAAAAATATTCTGCAAACCCAATTCAGAGAATATATGAATGACCAATGCTGTTAGGAAATTTAAAAAGCTTTTTTTTTGTTTGTAGCATCTATTGCATTGCGCCACACGGACATAGGCACAAATGCGTACATGTATTAACAGAGCAAAATAGACTAATAGAGCAAGCATTTTTTCATTATATTGGACATTAAATGCTAATATTGTGACCTTAATAGTTACATATTACATTACAGTAGCTCTTCATGGAGGGGGACATTGACACAATTGCATTCTATACAGAATTTAAATCTTCAAAAGATGAATTATTTTGAATTTTCATTCAAAATGATCTTAATAATAATTATTTTCTATTTCCATCAAAACTTGCGGAAAGGCCACAGTAAGTCAATAAACTGAATAAAGAAGGGCACTGATACCTTTTTTTCCTTCCATAAGTCTTTAGAAGCCGGGTAATGATTGTCTGCAGAATCCTGGAACTTCATGTTAGCTGTATCCTCCAAAAGTTTCTGAATAGTAGTTGGACCAAGATATGATGTATCCTCCTGCCTAACATACAAAACATCCTTCCCTCCCATGATCACACCAACTATTACATGAGTTCCAAAACGTTCTATAAACCTTGCATGAATAGTAGAAATAATTTTATCATTACAGTTATACAATGTCAATTGTTTCACTCAGTGACATCCCATCATAATGCGATTTGCATAGAAGAAAAGAGCTTGATAATCAAATCAAATAATTAACAGAGAGCAGCGCATGAGGTGATTTTTGGAATATACAGATTGAAATTTATGGTGTGATTAATGAAATTGTTTTCATACATTATATCTGGTGGGAAAAAAAAAAGCATTAAATTTAGTCTCTGTGCAAGATTGAAATTAACAAAAAAAGAAGGTTTGAACTTGCACTAACCAGAACACTTCTTTTTTGATACATGGAGTAGTAACTTGTTATTTCTTACAAGGCCAAAGGGTCTTACCTTGCCAAGGCCTCCGGGTCCCATGCTGATGGCACTGCTTCTTTGACATGATCAAGGAGTTCACCATGATACCTTTCTAATTCAATGGCATAGCGTTTGATGAACCACCCATCATAAGCAAGAGACTTGGTAGAAGCCAAATCTTTTATACTTCGACTAGGTAACCCAAATGAAGCACAGAAATGACCTGATGCAGTTTGTCCTGCAAGGCACATTTCCTGGTTGAAGTGCTCCAACATCTGAAACACATCAGAGGGTCACAAAATTAACATCTGTCTAAGTTCAAAGGTTAATACGAGTATATAATCATGGTAACATAATATTATATTATTCATCATTTACATGCCTGTTGCAAGGTGAGAACTCCTGAATGGACTCTAATTGATTCCCCTCTGACACATTTGATGGAGTTAGGGACATTTGGAATTGAAACCCCTCCAGGAATCTCAATATTACGGCACTGTTCCTCATTGACATGTATCAACCTTGAACCCTTCTTGCAGTTGTCAAAACCTATGTCTTGTGTTATGTCAAAACCCAACCCGATTGAGTTTATGGCTTTGTGGGCTGCTTCCAAACGGGAAACTCTTGGTGCCATTACTCAATTAGAAGGTATGGAACATGCAAGGAAGGCAAATGATGAAGGAGAAGAAGAAAGTATGACACTCAATTAAGATGAAGCCAAGTCAAGAACCCAAGCAAAGACTAAGAGTCGATGTTAAATAAAGTTGTAGGAAGTAGCAAGGAAGCAGGACCACGTACACGGAGGTGTTGACTTGACTGGATCATGTTTTAATACTCTAGAGTCTAGACATTATGTGTACGTATACATGCATAATATTCGTTTCAGTTTAACTTCAAAACTTATCATAGGATACAAAGATACAATTCTTTCCATGGCTGGTTTCGCAAACTAATCCAATAATAGTTTATAAGTTATTTTAAGTAGTTTATTATAGGTTGGTTTTGCAAAATACATCTTGAACAGTTATCTTTAACAAAAGTATTTTAAGAAAATTTTATTTAATTATAGTGATTTTAAGAAGTTTAGTTTGATCAAAGTATTTTTAGAATTAAATAGTATTTATTTAAAAATATGTTATTTCTAAATTAATTTTTAATATTATTACAAATATTTATGTATTACAAATCTTAAATATAATATAATTTATATTTTAAATATTTATTATAAGTTTACTCATATAAAATAAATATTTAATTTGTGTATTGCAATGTTAAAATACTAGTTTGTTTAATAAATTAAAATAAACTTATTTAATACTTGAATTTAGATAGTATTTTATTTAAATCATTAAAATTAATTTAATGGTAGAAGTTGAAGTGACATGTACATGATTCTATAAAATTTTGTTCTTGTCTTTATAATATTCCATATCAGTGAAAAGAAAGATAGTACTTGATTTAGGTTTTCTTTATGTACTTTAAAAATAAGTTGATTTTTTTTATTTATAAGAATAACAATAATAATAAAATTTGAATTAAAATTTTATATTATTATTTCAATTCCTCTGTCCCTAGATCAATTATAGTGGTTAAAAAAGAAAATTGAACTAAATATATTTTATATAAAAGATATTAAAAATAATAAGATTTTCTGTAAGAATAATAATGAGCTTTTAGAAAAAGTTAATGCTAAGTGGCAATTTTTTTTTCTTAATGACCTAACTTCAAATCCCGCGTGGCCATATTTTACCTTTGTAGAATACAGGTGCTATGTTGAACCTCTCCGGAAATTGCCACATTGTGCTGCCAGCTACTCATCTGAAAGGTTCACGCTCTTCCTCTA